CCTGAAGACTGCACAAAATAAACTGTTAGAGCTAATAATTTGTCCAAGTTTCAGGATTATGAAATCAACATACAAAAGTCAGTTTCATTTCTACACACTGTCAACAATCCAAGAAGGAAATTAAGGAAACAGTTCCTGCTGGCTTAGTTGTGGATACCTATAGTCCCAGCTACTTGGGAGGCTGAGGTAGGAGAATCGCTTGAGCCTGGGAGTTCAATGCTGTCATTTTTTATAATGATTATGCCTGTGAATAGCCACTGTACCCTAGCCTGGGCAACACAGTGAGACACTATCTTAAAAAAAAGGAAAAAAGTCAGTTTACAATAGCATCAAAAAGAATAAAACAGGAATAAACTCAACCAGGAGGCAAAGGCTTTGGCAGGATTTTGAGTTCCAGAGACCAGTTGTGTAACAAATGTAAAGGCATCTCATACTTATGTATTAAAAGGCTTAGTTTTGTTAAGATGTCAATACGACTCAAAGTGATCTACAGGTTTAGTTTGATTGCTCTCAAAATCTCAGTGACATTTTTTCTTCAATTATAGAAAAATCCATCCTTACAAATTGTGTAAAGTTTATACGCAATTTCAAGAGATCCCAAATAGCCAAAGCAATCTTGAAAAAGTAACAAAGTTTGAAGTCTTTTATTTCTCAATTTCAAAATGTATTATTAAAAGCTACAGTGGGCTGGGCACGGTGGCTCAAGCCTGTAATCCCAGCACTTTGGGAGGACAAGGTGGGCAGATCATGAGGTCAAGAGATCAAGACCATCCTGGCCAACATGATGAAACCCCATCTCTACTAAAAATACAAAAATTAGCCAGGCATGGTGGCACATGCCTGGGTCCCAGCTACTCGGGAGGCTGAGGCAGAAGAATCCCTTGAACCCAGTAGAGGCTGCAGTGAGCCGAGATTGCACCACTGCCCTCCAGCCTGGTGACAGAGCAAGACTCTATCTCAAAAAAAAAAAAAAAAAAGCTACAGTGGTCAAAAGTGTGGTACGGCAGATAAAGACATACAGAGAGACCAGTGGAATGAAATACAGTGTGCAGGAGGAAACCCTTACACATATGGTCAAATGAGTTCAATAAGGATGCCAAGACTTTTCAGTCAGGGAAGGGACAGTCTTTCAACAAATGGTGTGGGAAAACTAGATATCCACAGGCAAAAGAATGAAGTTAAAGCCTTGCCTTATATCATGTTGAAGAAAAGAAAACCTCAATAATAATCAAAGACCCAAGTGTAAGATCTGAATCTATACAACTCTTGTTTTTTTGAGACAGGGTCTCACTCTGACACTGAGGCTGGAGTGCAGTGGTGTGATCTTGGCTCACTGCAACCTCCGGCTCCCGGGTTCAAGCAATTCTCTGCCTCAGCCTGCCAAGTAGCTGGGATTACAGGTGCCCATCATCACACCTAGCTAATTTTTGTATTTTTAGTAGAGACAGGGCATCTTGGTCAGGCTGGTCTTGAACTCCTGACCTCGTGATTCATCACCTTCGGCCTCCCAATATGCTGGGATTATAAGCGGGAGCCACTGTTCCCAGCTGACAACTCTTAAAACATAGGAGAGTTTCCTTTGGCAATGATTTCTTGGATGTGACACCAAAGGCCCAAACAACAAAAGGAAAAGTAGGCAGATTAGATTACATTGAAGGATACTATTAACAGACTAAAGGCAACCTACGGAATGACAGATGTGCAAATTACATGTCTAAAGAGTTCCCAACGCAGTTCAAAAATGCACAAAGGACATGAATAGACAGTCCACCAAATAAGAGATACAACTGGCCAATCAGCACATAAAAAGATGCTCACCATCACTATTAGGGAAACAAACAAAAACCACGTGGAGAGGCTGGGCATGGTGGCTCACGCCTGTAATCCCAGCACTCTGAAAGGCCGAGGTGGGTGAATCACTTCAGGTCAGGAGTTTGAGACCAGCCTGGCAGACAGAGTAACACCACATCTCTACTAAAAATACAAAAATTAGCTGGGTGTGGTGCCATGTGACTGAAGTCCCAGATGCCCAGGAGGCTGAGGCAGAAGAATTGCTTGAACTTGGGAGGTGGAGCTTGCAGTGAGCCAAGATTGCACCGCTGTACTGTAGCCTGGGTGACAGAGTGAGACTCCATCTCAAAAAAAGAAAAAAAAAGAAGACCTACGTGGAGAGGCCACCTCAGACTCATTAAGACGGCTGTAATCCATACAGAAAAGAAAGTGTTAGCGAGGATGCTGAGCGGTTGGAAGCCTTGTGTACTCTTACTGGGAGTTTAAAATGGAGCTGTAGCTATGGAAAACAGTGTTTAAACTGTCCATCAAAAAGTTGAAAACAGACCAGGCGTGGTGGCACACACTTGTAATCCCAGCACTTTGTGAGGCCAGGGCAGGTGAATCACTTGAGGCTAGGAGTTTAAGACCAGTCTGGCCAACATGGTGAAATCCATCTCTACTAAAAACACAAATATTAGCCAGGCGTGGCGGTGCAGGCCTGTAATCCCAGCTACTCAGGAGGCTGAGGGTTAAGAATCACTTGAACCCAGGAGGCAGCGGTTGCAGGGAGCTAAGATTGCACCACTGCATTCCACCCTGGGTGACAGAGTGAGACTCTGTCTCAAAACAAAGGATTACCATATAATCCAGTATTTCCACTTCTGGGTATGTACCCCCTACAGTTTAAAGGGCCTCACACATTTATACACTGATGTTCATAGCAGCGTTGTTGAGAGCAAATTCTGACGTGTGAGAAATCATACTATTTGCTGAGAAATCCATCGAGAGCAGCAGCAATAGAAACCTAGTCGGCCCCCCAAAGTGGAAAACTGCCCCCAAAGCAGCAAACTGCTCAAAGCATTATAAAACAGTATCCAATATAATTATGTCTCATGCCAGATGAATTATTTCATTGAACACAGGATGTGTGACCCTTTCCTTTGTTCCCCCATAAAGAGCACTTTCTAGTTCATCTTTAACCTATAGTAAACACACACTAGCTGCCTAGTTAGTTTACCTTTAACCAATGAAAGAACACAGAGCATCTGCTTGTAAAGCTTGTCACTGGAAAGTCAAGAATAAATACATAGGTCAGAGACCCCCGGTGCTCAACTCTGAACCCATCTTTTGCTATCTCTGTGTCTGTTTCTTAATTCCTTCAGTGTTGCATGAGTTGGGGTCTCCAAGGCTGAGCTGGTCTTGGCACAGTGTTATTCATAGGAGCTGAAAAATAGCAGGAACCCAAGTGCCCACCGACAGATAAATACCAGTCTCTCCATACAGTCAAACATTATTCAGCCTTATAAAGGAAGGAAATTCCGACACATGCTAGCACATGGATGAAGCTTGAGGACATTATGCAAAGTGAAATAAGGCAGTCACAAAAAGAGAAATACTGTATGAGTCCACTTATGGGAAGGACCTAGAGTGATCAGATTCACAGAGACAGAAAGTAGAGTGGCGGCGGCCAGGAGCTGGGAGAGAGCAGTAACGGCTTATTTAATGGGGACAGAGTTTCAGTTTGGCAGGATTTAGTGAGTTCCAGAGTTTGGATGCACAAAAATGTGAATGTACTTACACTGAAGTGGGTACTTTAAATGGGTATGGTAAATTTTTTGTGTTTTACCACATTTAAAATTTTTGACATTGAAAATGTGTATTTATTGAGCACCTCCATGCTGGGTATGATGATACACTCTTAGGGAGGTAAAATTCTAAGTGTAAAAACTAGCACAGACAATAATAGAGATCTACAAGACTCAGATAGTAGGCTTATTAGAGATCATAGATTTTAGCAGAGAACCAGAAATTATTAAAATTACTAATCACTAAATTTATAGTTTAGTAAGTTAGCCATTCAGCTAATTTACTAATTACTGAAAATTTCATACTGAAAAAGGACCAGAATGTAGTAGAAAGAGATGGCAGAAAGCCCATCTTTTAGACATTGCTCTTAGCAGATGAGGGACAGAAGGGCACTTCCTGGCCAGGAGTGGTGTCTCACGCCTGTAGTCCCAGCTCCTCAGGAGGCTGAGGCAGGGGAATCACTTGAATCCAGCAGGCAGAGATTGCAGTGAGCTGATACTGTGCCACTGCACTCCAGCCTGGGCAACAGAGCAAGATTCCATCTCAAAAAAATAAATAGCAGGGTGTGGTGGCTCACGCCTGTAATCCCAACACTTTGGGAGGCCAAGGCGGGTGGATCGCTTGAGATCAAGAGTTGGAGACCAGCCTGGCCATACCCCGTCTCAAATAAAAATAGAAAAATTAGCTGGGTGTGGTGGCAGGCATCTGTAATCTCAGCTGCTCAGGAGGCTGGGGCAGAATTGCTTGATCCTGGGAGGCAGAGGTTGCAGTGAGCCACTGTACTCCAGCCTGGGTGACAGAGCTAGACTCCATCTCAAAGAAGTTAAATAAAGCCCATCTTTTAAACAGCTCTCCTAGCAGATGAGGGATAGAAGAGCGCTTCCTTACCCTGGTAGCTCTGGGTGTCCAGTCTGTGCCCTTGCCCACCACACTTGATGGGGAAACAGTAGAGCAGCCTCCGCTGCAAACCGTACTGAAGATCCCACCCACACAGTGAGAGTTCCCTTTAGCCTGCACTTTGGGTTGGATGCATCCTGAGCTCTCAGTGCATTGTGTGCTAAGGTTCCACCCTCCCCTTGGCTGGGAAGTATGTCTTGGTCTTCTGTCTCCAGGGTGCTTGTGGCAGAGCCTGATATGGAGTTGAGTGCTCCACAGATGCTTGTTCAGTTTCCTAGGAACTCAGCAGGCTGGGCCTAACACCACTGCCTGCAAAGGCCTGGCAGGTGTAGGGACACCTCGACCCATGCCTGCTGCTCTTACAGAAAGAAGAGAGGAAGATGGCTGGGGGTGGATGGAGAGTTGTCCTTTTAATAAGGAGGGCCAGGGGCTGTAATAGGGGCCACAACATAATTTATCTCAGGAAACAGCAGGGGCCCCTCTCCTCTGGGGCCCATAACCTGGCCTTACTTCTCTCTTTTCAGTTTGAGATTTCATCTAAGCCAGCACTAGGCTGCCAAAGGCTTCAAACTCCTTCACCTTCTACTCTAATTCCAGCTCCTTGACAAGGGCAAGATTCTTGGCTGGGACAGAATAACCAGCATGGAATGCCACGCAACTCAGAATGACATGTGCTTCAAATGCAGGGAAGAAGAGCTGTTTGCCATTGCACTCAAAATACTTCTGAGGACATGAAACTCTCCCACTGGTCTGGGTAATTCTCCGCCTTCCTCCACACCTCCACTGTAAACCAAGAGACACTACGGCCAGCAAGTCCCAGCCCTGCAGAGAGCTCTACCAGCTCCTGTTCATGCCCAAGATATTTATTAACTTATTCAACAGCCATGTGGTAAGACACTGCTTCAGAACACTGACTGTGTGCAGGAGGACACGAAGTCGGGTTCTCAGCTGCCTGGTCCTGGCTTCCCCTGCCTGACCCAGGGGTCTCCTGAGGCAGGAGCTTCTTTGAGGGGAACTGATAGCTCTTCAGAAGCCCAATAGAGAGCTGCTCTCTGGGGTAGACACATGAGGACTGAAGGCTTTCAAGGGCCTCTGTTTTGGTAGGGGCACCTGTGAACTCAGGCTCCCAGGCTAGAGCATTCAGTTTTTTTTTACTTTCTTTTGGAACATAACCTTTTCCTTTGAGTTTTCAACTGAAGAATAAACCTAGCAGAATCCAAGAATGTGTCTCTGGATTGCTGGGGCTGATCATCAACTCAGGAGATGGGGAGACGTGGGCAGTTATGCAATCTTCTCACCGATAGGGGGATCCCTCTTTGGGCTGAGCATTTGGTAGTAGATTGTAGGGTCCAGATTTTAGAGCAAAGGGCCAGGTGTCAGCCACAGGGACTGAGGCAAGCTGAAGGCCAGACTCCAGACTTGGCTGTCCCTGACCTCCCCACCCATGAGTCCCTGGTGCACTGCAGGTGCTAGATGAAGTTCAGAAGAAAGAACTCCAGGGTAAATAGGAATGAAAAGGTTGGTCCTCCACATTCCCACGCTGGAGGGAAGAGAAGGGAGGGTGGCTGGGATCTGAGTGTTTGCTATGGTTACAGCCTAAAGACCCCGAGCCCAGGCACTGCTCTGAGTGCCTTGAAAGATGTTTGATCTAAAGCCTTACAATAGTCCAATGAGAAATGGATAATCTCCTTAATGAGGAAAGAAACAAAGGCTCAGAGAGTTGAGGGGATTCCCCCAAGGTCATATAACCTACAAATGGCCAGGACGGTGCTAATGCGGGCCTGTGCCTCCCACCGCTGCCCAAGCTCAATCACCCCTCACCACTTCTGCTTTTGCAACAGCCTTATATCACATATTCTACCAGTTACTTTATGAAAGTCAAGTAAACTTTAGCCATTTCCCAAGCCATAACAGGTAGCTCCTGTTCAAAATACCCTGTAAATCAGGTCATGCAAGATCAGATATGCACCCACAACTGTTACAGGTGCTGTTTTGGGGAACTCAGCCTAGGAATATGAGCGAAGAGACAACTCACAAAGAAAAGCAAATCACTGGCACGCAGGGAGCCCTGAGCAATTCAGAGTCAGAGGCGACTAGAGTGTGCAGCCTCCTGACCTGCTGGTTTCCCAATATGCTTAATGGATCCATGATGTCGGGTCCACAAAGGAAATGCAGAAGCCTTCCCTTCCTGACTCCCACACTCTGTGGGTCAAGTATTTACCAAAAACACAGCAGTGGACTGGACACTAGCAGAGATACAAAGAGGGAAAAACAGTTCTCCCTTCTCAAGGTAGGTTGGACATCAATATTTTGCAGTTAGGATGTGCAGGTGGAGTGTGTGTGCATGCCCAGAATTTAAAGACGAACAGATGGGAGAGGGAAAGATTCCAGCAGAAAGACCAATAAATATTCACATCTACAACGTACACTGAACTGCAGCCTAGACAACATAGCAAGGCTCTGTCTCCATGAAAATTTTAAAAATTAGCTGGGCTTGGTGGCACATGCCTGTAGTGTCAGCTACCCAGGAGGCTGAGGCGGGAGGATCACTTGAGTCCAGAAGTTTAAAATTACAATACACTGTGATTACATCACTGCACTCCAGCCTGGATATCAGAGCAAGGCCCTATCTCCAAAAAAGCAAGACATTTACAGAAAAATCAATATATGAAAATCCAAAATAAAATATTAGCAAATAAACTCCACTGGGGCTTAAAAAAAAACTTACCTAAACCAAGAGACTTGTACAGTGTAAAAAGGCTCAAAATTAGAACTTGTTCATTTTACTTATATTAATATGTTGAAAATCATAATCATCATAGATGTTGAAAAGGCATTTGACAAAATTTACTACAAAATTTAAAAAAGAAACATCAAATTAGAAAGAGGGATACTTCCTTAAATTACACACAATAAAGGAAATTAAACCCAGACACACACCTATCAAGCCAAAGCCCAGCATCATTTGTAAGGCACGGAAGCAACAGAAACTTCCATCAACCTTTGGAACAAAAGAATACCCTCTGTTACCATTATTATTTTGGAGGCCCTATCTGATGTAACTAGGCAAGGAAAGTAAGACATTAAAGAAAAAAGCAGAAGGTGAAATAGTTATATTTACTCTGAAAAATGAGGCAGATAGATTTTGCTAAGGAGTTAGGTACAAAGGAACATACTAAACAGCCTTCCTTTTTCTTAATTTTTAAACTATAGAGATGGGGCCAGGCACAGCTCATGCCTGTAATCCCAGCACTTTGGGAGACCAAGGCAGGTGGATTGCTTGAGGTCAGGAGTTTGATACTAGCCTGGCCAACATGGAAAAACCCTGACTCTACTAATAATACAAAAATTAGCCGGGTGTGGTGAAACTACCTGTCATACCAGGTACTCGGCAGGCTGAGGCATGAGAATTGCCTGAACCTGAGAGGTGGAGGTTGCAGTGAACTGGAACTACACTACTGCACTCCAGCCTGGGCGACAGAGCAAGACCCTGTCATAGATAGATTAGATTAAATTATAGTAAATTAGATTAGGATAGATAGATAGATAGATAGATAGATAGATAGATAGATAGATAGAGATAGGGTCTTATTATGCTGCCCAGGCTGGTCTCAAACTCCTCGGCTCAAGCAATCCTTCTGCCTCAGGCTCCCAAAGTGCTAGGATGACAGGTCTGGGCCACCACACCCGGCCTCTGACAGTCTTCCTATGTACAAACAAGCAGTTGGAAAAGAGAAGAAAAGATCCCATTTGCAACAGCACACCCCAAAAAACCAAAACTCCCAGAAATCAATATGCAAAAATATGCACACACCATCCATATGAAGAAATCTTTCAATGAAACACTTTGAATGCAAAGAAAGCCACGCTGCACATGTTATCGAGAAAGATTCAACATTAAAAAGATGTCACAGCCAGATGTGGTAGCTCACACCTGTAATCCCAGCACTTTGGAAGGCTGAAGTGTGTGGATCACAAGGTCAGGAGTTTGAGACCAGCCTGAGCAGCATAGTGAAACCCTGTTTCTACTAAAAATACAAAAAAATTAGCCAAGCATGGTGACCTGCATCTGGAGTTCCAGCTACTCAAGAGGCTGAGGCAGAATTGCTTGATCCAGCAGGCAGAGATTGCAGTGAGCAGAGATTGCGCCACTGCACTCCAGCCTGGGTGACAGAGTGAGACTTCATCTCAAAAAAACAAAAAGATGTTACTATAAATATCAAGTGGGGGTGTGTGGAAATGGGGTCTTCACACATGCTAGGGGAACATAAGACAGCATGGCCACTCCAAAAGACAGTTTGGCAGTTTCTCAAAAGGTAAATATAAATTTACCTTATGGAGTTGGATACTGTGGCTCAGACCTGTAATCCCAGCATTTTGGGAGGCCAAGGTCGGTAGATCACCTGAAGTCAGGAGTTCGAGACCAAGCTTGGCCAACATGGTGAAACCTCATCTCTTCTAAAGATACAAAAAAGTAGCCCAATGTGGTGCGGGGGCCTGTAATCCCAGCTACACAGGAGGCTGAGGCAGGAGAATAGCTTGAAAGTGGAAGGTAGAGGTTGCAGTGAGCTGAGATCATGCCACTGCACTCCAGCCTCAGTGACAGAGCCAGACTCTATCTCAAAAAACAAACAAAAATAGGTGTGGTGGCACATGCCTGTAATCCCAGCTACTCAGGGGGCTGAGGCAGAAGAATCACTTGAACCCAGGAGGTGTAGGTTGCAGTGAGTCAAGATCATGCCACTGCACTCCAGCTTGGGCAACTGAGACTGTTTCCAAACAAACAAATAAGTGTCAACCTCAGTGCCCCTTTGTATACTCACGGAATGGTGCATCCATCACCACAATTGATTTTAGAACATTTTCATTTCCCCAACAAGGAACCCTGCTATCCTTGGTCATCACCCCTCCCAATCCTTCCTTCCACCCCCAGCACTAGGTAACCAGTAATCTGCTCCCTGTCTCTCTGGATTTTCCCATCTAGGCATTTCGTATAAATGGAATGATACCGTATGTGGCCCTTGGTGACTGGCTGCCTGGACTTGACATAAAGTGTCAGGCTCACCCACATGTGGCCCATGTCTGTGCTTCATTCTTTTTCACTGCCTTATTGCCCAAGTGGTGTCATAAGCACTGCAGGTGAACTGTGAAAAGTAAGGATGTGTGTTGTAATCCCTAGAACAATTGCTAAAGAAAGCACATATAGCTAAAAACATAGAGCAAAAAGATACAGCCAAAAAGCCACTAGAGATGAAAGGATACGCGAAGAATCACTCCATTTATCCAAAAGAAGGCAGGAAAGGAGGGGAAAAAAACAAAAGAGAAATACTACTAAAAATACAAAAAAAAAAAAAAATTAGTGAGGCACAGTGGTGCACACTTGTAATCCCAGCTACTTGGGAGGCTGAGGCAGGAGGATCACCTGAATCTGGGAGGCAGAGATTGCAGTGAGCCGAGATCACGTCACTGCACTCCAGCCTGGGCGACAGAGCAAGACTGCCTCAAAAAGAAAAAAAAAAACAAAAACAAAAGAACACAAATGGCATAAGTTAGAAATTCCACTGAACTGTAAGTGAACTAAATACTTCAAATGAAAGTGAGATAGTGAGATTGAATTTTAAGAAACACAAACAAAAACAGGACCCACCTATCTAATGTGTAGAAGAGGCACCCTTTAAATACAAAAACATAGCTAAGATGAAAACAACAGGATGAAAAAGCTATCTATGTCAACAGTTATAAGAAAGCTCTATTAACATTAGATAAATAGATAAGTAATATGTGGCCTTTCTACTTCTTTGACGGAACAATTAAAAACTGAGAATATGAGGTTGGTGCGGTGGCTCAGGCCAGCAATTCCAGCACTTTGGGAGGCCGAGGTGGGCAGATCACCTGAGGTCAGGAGTTCAAGACCAGCCTGGCCAACATGGTGAAACCTTGTCTCTACTAAAAATATAAAAATTAGCCAGGCACGATGGCGGGTGTCTTTAACCCCAGCTACTCGACAGCCTGCCATGGGAGAATGGCTTGAATCTGGGAGGCACAGATTGCAGTGAAACAAAATTAAGCCATATACTCCAGCCTGGGTGGCAGAGCGAAAAGCCATCTCAAAAACAAATACCAGAGAATGGTACACTTTAAACTGCTGCATTTTGTGTTATGTGAATTACATGTTAATTTCTTAAACGACTGGTAGAAGAAGGAAGGCACTGAAAATTGTATTT